CGTCTTCGGGGTGGTAATTGAATGTGTCTGCTGATGGTCTCTGTGTGAAGTGTCGTGGGTCTGTGGTCCTGTGTGTGGTGTTATTTGTGTCTATGTGCCGTTGTTTAGTGTGGCTCTCTTAAACATTTTCTGTTTTCAGTTCCAGCAGTTCTGCTGGTTTGTGTCTGTCTTCAAGATGTCTTTGTGGCTAGTGGCCGAAGGAAGTTTGCATTGGCAGTGTATGCCCTTAATGAATAAAGTTCTAGTTTTGTCCAATACGGATTTGCTCCTGAATGTTAATTTATATATTTGTGAGTATTCTTGCTATTGTTTTGAGCACTAAATTGCTCGGCATGGTGTAATGTGTAGTTGTAAGCTGTGAATTTTTTGCTGATTATGGGTGCTCGAACATGGCTTGTGGTCGGAATCTTGGACGATTTTAGCATTCATATATAATCTATTTTGCATACCACTGGTGCTAGTGTAATCATTAAGAAATGGTGTGCTTAGCGTGGTTTTTGGAGGGATTTTTTGTTCTCCCCTTACAGGTTTTTGCTTTCAGCTGTTTGAAAACGTAGTACTAACATTATTGTGGTGTTCTGCTATGCTTTACATGGCCGTGTTTGCAACTCATAGGTACCGAGGAGCCTTATTTCTGTTGGTTGTGTTGATCAATTCACCATTGTATGTCAGTTTCTTTGTGAGTATATCCGATTCATGAATGGGCCATTTTGCTTGCATTTTTAGTTAAAAGAAGGTAAAACTGCTGTTACTCTCATTTATCTGTGCATTGGACCATTAATTATCGTGTGAAGTATTTACTCTCCAGTTTTTGACTGTCTGTCATCTACATCTTATTTGGTTTACAACTAGCTAGAGGAAAAGGCAAATTTTTATTTTTTTTTGGAAAGTTGGTGGAAAATGCGATTTCATCAAATGCATCCTTTTGGTTCTTTCATTCTTCCCACTCTAGATTTTGCTTCTGGACACCTAGAACAGGCTGACTAAATAGAAACATTAGCATCCGGGAAACATCTGATCTTATTGAATGCCATTTCTTTAATCCCGAAAGCATGTGAGAGGGAGGGGTGTTTTGGTGCAGTGATGCTTATTATGCAGCTATTGTGGGCTTGTAAGTCATCTACTTGCCATATTTGTCTCGAACTTTTATTCTTAATCATGGTTTCTTAATGAGCCTTGTTACTCCCATTACTTGTTCCAAAGCACAATTTGTTTAGAGTTGCTATTTTCTGTGATGGAGTTTCTCCTTTGTAGATGGTTGCTTGCTAGTTCTGGAGGCCCTGGTGCTTGTTGCCTTGGTTGTGAAAACAGCGTTATTCACAGATGTTAAGTTCTTCTAACTACTTCAGGTGAAGTACACTTCTCCCATCAACCTTTGTGAAAGCTGTATCCTTTGTTAATTTCATGACAGTATTTTATCAACTTTTCATATGTCAGCAATCTCCAACTACAACATGAATCTTTTTGTGGTCAGCTAATATTTTAATCTAACATGAACTAAAATTAGGACTTGGCAAAAGGACCTTAATTAAATGATTGGATTGTCAAAGTTGAACTAAATTGTCCAATGCTGTTAGTGCAGCTTGCCCCATTTTTAAATGTATTAGATTATTAATTGATACAATGAACATTAGGTGTTTACCTGAAGGTTGTGCTGAGCTTTAACCCGGATAAAGCCCCAGGTCTTGATGGATTCAACACCCACTTTTTTCAGCCGGCAAAATGGAGATTGAGGTGGATGCTTGGAAGAAGATCTACTGGAAAAAAAGCAGTTCTCATGCAGTACCCATAGCAAGTAAGTGGCAGAGTTTTTGACACTCAAATTGCCGTTAGGCACCATTAGTTCTTGTCACCTTCATAATACAGCTGATTGATGGATCAATTTTAAGAACAAAAGGCAGTGTCATGCATTCATATCACTGATCATTTTTCCTGAAGTAAATCTCTGCTCATTCCTCATTTATATCCATTCTCATCCTTATATAGAGTATAGTTTTTCTTTGAAACAACAAACAGGACTTCTCCTAACACTTTTTTACTGAAGACAGAGAGAGGAAGATGAAATTAAACCTCTTAGAAACATGCTGCTATCTTCCTCTGGTTAGCACACCAAGAAACTCACTAAAGATAACAGTTACAGGGAAATGACAATCTGTTCTACTCTCATGTGATCGATCATTATGATTAGTAAAGAATTTTTCCTGTCAAACTGGAAAACTTGTTTGTAAGGGTAATCCCACTGAATGTAGAATGTAGATATTGATTGTACTCATATATCCTTATCATTTGATCACAATATGACGCATGGAGCAACAAGTTTGAGTCTTGTAATTTTATTTTTTTTTAAATGACTTCTCAACTTTATTGTGCTGAAATAAAGTTCTTTTTGGGTGTTGCTGATATGAGGAAGTGATTGCTGCTGCTAGAATTAGCTGCGATCCAGAGAGGCTGATTTGTAAATACATCTACACACAGAGGAGAGCATAATACAAATGGAGCAACAAGTTTGAGTCTGGTAAATTTTATTTTATTTTATTTTATTTAAAAATGATGTCTCAACATGATTGTGCTGAAATAAAGTTCTTTTTGGGTGTTGCTGATATGAGGAAGTGATTGCTGCTGCTAGAATTAGCTGCGATCCAGAAAAGCTGATTTGTAAACACATCCACACAGAGGAGAGCATAATACGGATGGAGCAACAAGTTTGAGTCTGGTAAATTTTATATATATTTTTTTTAAAATGACTTCTCAGCATGATTGTGCTGAACTAAAGTTCTTTTTGGGTGTTGCTGATATGAGGAAGTGATTGCTGCTGGTATAATTTGCTGTGATCCAAAAAACCCAATACGTAAACACATCTACCCAGGGTCATTCTTTTTTGGTGTTCTAGGATGTGGAAACCATTGTTGCTGCTAGAATTAGCTGTGTGATCCTGAAAGCCTTAGTACAACACACATGAGATCATTCTTCAACTGTTTTTGATATTATTTTTAAGACCACTTACAAAACACATTACTCACACGATTATGAGCTTATTACCACCCTCACTTTTAGCTGCAGTGCTACTGGGCTAACTTTATTATAATGCGCACTGCTAGAGGTGGCCAATATATAATGGCCTTATTTAGAACCAGATAGCTAGGATTTGACATTGCTATGGTTCCAAGTTGTATGTGTGGGGCAGGTCTTGGGCCCTCCGTGTCATCTCTCGCATCTCCTCACCTTGCCTGATTGCTGCTGCTGCTGCCTCACTGTCTCCCTTAGGGCCTCACATCGGCACTCCTTGTTCATGTTCTCCAACTGTTCGCAGCACTGTCAGAGAGACTGCTGCTGCTGGTTTGTGACCATTCTTAATCGTAGTTTGTACAGCACCTCTTGCAGTCGCGAGGATTTGCTCGCGGCATCTCTGTTGTGAGCCCCTAGGATTTTATTCCTCGATGGTGATGGTGGTGACCGTTGTGATTGTTGTCCGGTAGGTGGATGGCTTGGGCAAGGGCTAGTAAGAGAGCAGATGAAATTGCAAGCTTTGCCATTGTTAAGAGATGAAAGATAAACAGAGGTTGGGGGGTGAGCTGGCTGCATTCACTGTTTCACACAAATTGACACGCAAATGCTGTGATCAACGGGTTTTGTTTTGATTTTGAAACTGCTTTGGAATTGGTTAGGGGGTGGCATTGGAGTTCGGGGTTCGGGGTTCGTTTCAATAGTAATAAGGTGGTCGCCGAGAGCCAGTTTATTGAGATTCTTTTAGCCGGCGTTGATTGCTAGTAGTACCTATCTTTTTGGCCACTGTATGCTTTTGTTAGAGGCTTAAGAGATAGCCATGATCATTCAGCTAGACATGCATATTGGTGTAGGAAAAACACATGAAAGGTGGGTGCTTGGTCAGATGTAAGTCGGGGTCATCAGTTGACAAGAGAGATGGGCAGTTGGGCTCTTAACTACATACCTGTGGGAAAACCATGCGCGCAGTCTAATATATGAATATGATAGGTCAGAATTATTAATTGCTCTGTTATAGTTGAACCACGCAGATGGGTCATAGTTTACCTTTTCTCTAGCATCAGATATGAGAGAACTAGTCATAGAGTTATGTGGATGTTGCTATTTCGAGTTTTCTTTATAGAGTTGTGCTTTTTTTATTTTTTTGGTAGCAGGTGTCTAATCTGCAAGGCTCAGTTCTCACTGATCAAATGACTGAATCTGGATGTTCTAAAGTTGGGTCGAATTCAAACCTTGGCATTCTGCATAACAAAGATGATTGTTATTTCAACCAGTACTTTTAAATATTATAACTTAGCTTCCTTTAAATTTGTTCTCAAAATCATTTTGTCTCGGGTACATATATTACATGATCACTTCCTTGTTATGTAGCACACAGAGTAGATGACAGAATGGGAAAATGTATTTCAACAATGATGTCACAAAACGTTACTCAAGATCACAGTTGGGAAAAATTTCAAAGAGTAATGTATTTCCATAATGATGATTTTTGTCATATAGGCCAACCTTTTATGCACTTTTTTTTTCTATTTTGGCTCTTAATATTGTGTAGTTTTATAATTTTGGATTCTTATATTGAGTTGAGTTGTAAGTACAATAATGTCCAAGATATTTGTTGGTTCTGTTCTCAATTGTTTTGTTATGCTTTGGTTATAGTAACAATCATAGTAATCCCCTCTGCAAAGCATCTGGTGAGGAATTAGCTGTGGATTAGCTATGAATATCTGTTAGAACTTATGCACATCCTTTAGATTTTCTCCCAACAACTTTTGTTCACTTGAAGCATCCGGTCATCAAGGAAGAATTCGAACAAGAGTACATATTCATACTCCTTGCATCATCTACTTCGATTTCGTTTTCATTACGAGTTACCATGATCAGCAGTCAAAAACCATAAACAAACAAGGTAATGGATCTTTCAACTAATTTTTCATTTACTTTTCTTATTTCTCATTAGATGCATCCGCACACATAGGTACGCACACGATCATGGGCTTATGACAACTTGTTATTACCATGCCCGTGGATTATTTATTTATTTTTTAAATTTATTTATTTAGAACCAGATGGCTCGGATTTGGCATTGCTGTGGCTCCAAGTTGCATCTGCGGGGAAGGTCTTGAGCCCTCTGCTCCATCTGTCGCCTCTCCTCAGCCTGCCTGCCACCCTCCTGCTGCCGCTGTCTCTGCCTCACCGCCTCATTTACAGCCTCACAACGGCACTCCTCGTCAATGTTCTGCAACTGTTGACAGCACTGGCGGAGGTACTGCTCTTGCTCCTCCTGCTCTCGTGGGTTCAGAGCCAGGTCATAGGGGCTTCTCTGCGACAAGTACCTTTGGCAATGGGGGAGTTGCTGCTCCCGTTGGATTTGCTCACGGCATTCCTGCGATTCCCTCGGGTTCCCTTGCTCCACCACGGTGGTGGTGATGGTGGTTCGAGAGGCAGTGGCAAGGAACAAAAGAGCAAGCAAGAGAGCACCGAGAAGTGCGAGCTTTGCCATGGTGATTGTCACAGAAGGGTAGGGAATTATGTTTGTTTGACGAGTGATAGGTGGTGGGTGTAGTGTATTTATAGTAGATTTCAGGGCTTTAGGATTTGCATGGGCAAGTTACGTGGAGGGTGGTAGGTTGAGGCAGGTGGTTGGGTAGGGAAAAAGTTATTGAGGTGGCAGGTTTCAAGTTTCCACGTAAGTTGACATGCAAATGCGTCCACATATGAATTCTGTCACAGTCACACGAGCCTGAGTTATCTACGGATCTCATTATTTAATTCGAAATTTGATAAATCTCATATTTAATTGATTCGAAATTTGAACCTAATATCTTTAAAAAGAGGATTTGAGTATGACTTCAAACACATTACCCAGCTTGAAGCCCGGCCCAAGAGCCCGTCTATCAGGTTCAACCCGTCACATAACCCGTTGACCCTTCATTTGAAAAAAAATTATATTTTTAGGTCATTAATTTTGGAACTTTAAAATAAGTCTTCTAATGTCGGAATTTGAAATTTTAAAAATTTAGATACTATAAATAATGCATTATTTTATTTTTCATATATTAAGCATACAAGTTTTAAAATATAAAGTAATGCAAATGATGAAAAAGTGAATAGGTGTCAATTTAGTTGAGATGTATTAATCATATTGGATGTAGTTCATTCTATAATTAAAAATAAAATTATTTATTATTTTATTTTTATCCATTGTGATTCTATTTTTTATTTAAAAATATAATTTATATAAATATTAAGTTATAAAAATATTCATTATTTTTAAATAAAATTGTATATAAAAAACTCGCAAGTAGGCTTGCCTAGCACCCTGTCCACAGGCCCATTCAATAAGCTCACGGGTTGAATTGTGGATAGTCTACTCTTATCCAAACCCCGGCTTAGTTCATTCGATAACTCACTTGGGTAAAAATTTGAGTCTATAGTACCTAAACTCGGCCCAAAAAAAATTTTGTTGACTTAGCCCAACCTGACCATATGGTCAGGTTAGGAAGAAAATATTGAGTGTTCATCGGGCATTATACGGCAGTGTATGTCATCTGTTAAATATTGTATTATTTTAATTAATTTCTGCTATTTGTATGATTGTTAATTTTTAAAAAAAAAACTAAATTATGGGGTCTGACAAGAAAATGATGTTGTAATTTTTTTGGGTATATAGACTGCACACATGTTGAAAATTTTTCTAGGTTAAGGTGTGGTAGCACAATAAATTTATGACTAATGCTATTTGAATTTAATTTATGGATAATTTTATTGTGCACCAAATTTGTGTACTAAAATTTACACCAAATTAATGTAGTCTTTAGATAACTAATGTGTGAGTGTGATGCTTTGGAGCCTGATCATCACGAAATAGTTTAGGTCTTTCAATTTTACATTGCTAAAAAAATCTCACTTTTTTATTAAAAATAATATATATTATTACCAAAAAACATGAATGTTGATGATACCAAAAAAATAACATCAAAAATAAATACAAGAATACTGGAGTAGTTGGTTTTTAAAAAACCAATGGACTAGGTCTATCTCTTGATTTTAGTGCTTAAAAGATATTATAAACTTCAGGTGTGTCAAGTCCAGAGACGAACACCACAAAAAACGCCACACAAAAGACTCAAGAGGAATCGTTCACACGGTAAAACTTTCCACGAGATAGGTGAACTATTCTATAATTTTTTTACATTCCAATAATTAAGTTATTAGGCTGATAATGTTACAAATTTGGTTTATAATTTTTAATGCATAAAGGTAATGATTTATTTAAGTTGTGGAAGAATATAGTGAGTCTTCGTGGTTTAGTTGGAACCCATCTGCATGACGAAAAGAATGAAATTAAGAGTATAGTTCAGTATACGGGTTGTTTTGGGACTAATATTGGTTCCTAGGTGACATCTCGTCTATGTGACAAGTGTTTACATAATAGGGTTTGATTATGTGATTGAGATGTATGCGTGACGAGATTCGGATACGTAGTGGA